ATTATGATGATGGTTGTGTTGGTACTGATACCCGACCTTCGGCGAGGCCTGCCGATCCACCTTAGCGTTATCTAACTTGGGCGCGGAGTTCGTCATGGCTCGGATGTTTGTCTATCTATCTATTTCTCTCTGTTTCACTTTTCTAATATTCCCTCGTTATTCAGCCAATTCATTGGCCTGCAACACAAAATGGACCTATTTGTGCATTTTTAACTTTCATTTCTCCCTTTTTCTACGAAAAATATCGTAACATTGATTTGTATTTAAAGTATTATTTTTTCATTCAAAAAGAAAAAATGCTGTTTTCTTTATGCTTGAAAATAAAGTAATACCTTTTCTTTGTTTAGAAAGGAGGACGATAACATTATCTTTGACAAAGCTAATTAAATACTTGTTGTAAGAATACTTTAGTAAATTATAAAAAAATTTTTCTTCTCTCAAATTTCATTTAATTAACTAATCTTGTTTTAGTCAAAATATTGGAATTTATATATTAGTAAAAAATTCTAAAGCTAGAGCTGGTATATATAGAGATTTCTGAAATTGATTTATATATATATATATATATATATAGATCGAATTCGCTATATTAGATTAGGCCCAGTTGCAATGTCACTTTGACTTTAAGCGAGACTTAAAACTCTATCTGTCTCGTTTTAAAGCCAAAAAGAGACAGAGATAGAAAGAATTTTAAGCCTCGCTTAAAATCAAAGTAACGTTGACGCAATCGGGTCTTATTCCTACATTGTGGCATATTCAAAAGAACATACAACTGATGTAAATGACAATATTTGAATTTGTAATATTTATGTTTAAATAACAAGTTACAGATATAAAATTCCTCGATAGTTACGCGGTTTTTAATCATAGGAAAAAATAAATGGATACTTCTTCAAATATTCAAGTATACAGTAAATTTACACTAAATTTATGCTAAAATTTTATCTTTATTGCACTATAATTTGTAAATAACTTTATATACGATAGAATGTTAGTATAAAAGTATACATTTGCAACATCTAAAAACACTCTGACACTATAACAAATCAGCTTCATATACACCAACAAACATAAAATGCTCAATAAGAATCAATTCTATACTTTCCATCATACTTTCACTATCAAATACCATTTCCGTAAGAAAAATTGTTTGTGACACAATAAAAGTTAGATTTTAGTTCATTAAGAACTAAAGGAATAAACATATTATGTATATATTGTCATATTTAAAAAAAAAAACTGAAAGTGAAAAATATAAAAAAAAGAAAAATTTATAAAAATTTAATTTTATTTTAATGCTTTTGATATCAATAATTTTAAATAACTTAATTCTAGATTTTCTATATTTTATTTCTATATTTATAATATATTTTATAAA